CACACACACACACACACACAGACACAGGCAGATTTACAAAACCGGAAGAATAAGGTTTCAAATCCGTTTGTTTAAACTTTATGTTATTTTCGTTGAAAATTTGTTATTTAAAAACCTTGGAGTTCTATTATTTAGAAAAATCCTTTCTCCGTTTGTTAACATCTTCTTACATCGTTCTCGTAACAGTAACAAATACCAGGTGGCAATGAGAAAAAAAAAACTGAACAAAGGGAACGACTGGTGAACACAGTGGGGGTACTGAGGTTTTGAAGGGCACATAACCAGGGATGTACCAGAATTGGCTGCTTCTTAAAGGCAGTTTCTTGTAGTTTGTTCACAGCATGATTATTTTGATTTTTTTCATTGCGTTTTATCGCCGCCGTCTTCCCCTAATTTTAATGGACCTTTTCTACAGCTCTTCTTCTTCGCCATTTGCAATTGACAAATTAAAAGAAAAAAATGACCCTTTCACTATTTTTACATCACAACTTGCACATTGCCTTTCATCATTATAAAAATAACAACAACAGTAACAACAAGAAAGTGAAAAGTTTTTTTAATATTTTAAAGGGGAAAAAAAAAGTTTACCTCTTTCAGTTGTTCAAATCAGCCCTTATCCTAAAACTAATTTTACAGCACAAATTGTTTTAAATGAACATGGCTGTAGGTTTGAAATTTGAAAAAGCTGTCGTGGAAAAAAAAACAGCGTACAGCAACTTAGGCAAACAACACTAACGATTATTTGTGAAGCATAATAGGTAAAGAAACTTCTTTTTCAGGAAATTCTACCGCAAAAGGCCTCGTAAATTTGTAGAATTCCACACAAATGACTGAACTGATTAGCAGTTCCAGTCCACAAAGAACTTGTGAAACTAAATAATGGGTCGAATAAACACTTTTTTTTCTTTTGAGGTCGATCAGTCCTCCCTCTCCAAATCTGCCCACCCCCTAAAAATCGTAAGAAAATGACGGATAGTTTTGGTTGAGACGATTTGTGTGCGTGCGTTTGTGAGTCAAAGAACAAGAAAATTGGGGGTTTTACAAAGTAATTCTTCAGACACCATCGTCATCATCGTCTGTATTAACAGAACGGCAACAGCAACAACAATCACAGCAACAAGCAACAGAATCAGCATCAGCCATAACGACAAAATGGCGACGGCAAAACGCCGGTTCGGATCAGAATAAATCGCATTGACAACCACTACAGCAATTCTTAATTGTTTGCAACAACAATACAACATCGAAAAACTTTGTAATTTTTCCTTTTCCTTTTCTTTTTTTTTCCTACAACTATTTTTAACCAAAAAAAAAATTATCTGTCAAGAATAATTATATGAACATTTAAAAAGAAAAAAAAATGTTTCGATTTTAACGAAACAAGAAAACAACGAGTTGAAATTCCTGAAAAAGGTAGTGTTTCATTCAACAATACCGTAGGTCAACAAATTTTTAGAAGCTTTAGTGCAAACAGTGGTAACAAGGAGAAAAAAAAACAAATAAACAAAAAAAAAGACAAATAGACGAAAAATTACATTATTTTTCGCTTTTTTTCTCCATTAACTGTCTCTCTCTCCCCCTCTTTCTCGGAAAAAAAAGAAAAAAGTTGTTAACAATAATAAAAATAAATAAAAATTTGGTAAAATCATCACAAACCAAAATGGCATCTGTCATTTTACT